GAATATGGTACACATTTATTGTTTTATTAAAAGAGACCTCACACTTCCTGTCTGCTCCAGCTGTGCTGCGGCCAACAGTGAGCTGCGCGGTGGCACCTGCCACTACGTTTGAGTTCAGAGTTATAGTGGCTTCAGGGGGCCTTATTTTTGGTGAGGTCTTATTTTCAGGGGATGCCTTATATTTCAGCAAGAGGTAAAACTATAAGTAGGCCTTATTTTCAGGGGATGTCTTACTTTTGGGGAAACACGGTATTTAGGTCCTACAAAAATTGTTTTAGTCTTTTTAAAACTTTGTCAATTCAGACCTATCCCCTTTTTCACTTGCACCCTTATATTGTGATGGAAATCCTGTTTTAGGAGACACTTAATGGGAATTGCAGCTTACTTGTGGGTTTTTGTTTTTTTTTACATTTTAGACACCATGAGGTGATGTTTTGAGAAAAGTTTTAGCATGTTAGTATAAGGCATTCCTGAAGGACAGCTAAGTAGGGTGCAATGATGGGGAGTCTTTCAGTTTACAAATAAATACTTTAGGAGACTCTCCCCAGCCTTGAGAAGAGAGCCTGACCCAGACTCTCCCCAGATCTCTCAAACCCCAGCTTCTTCATCCAAATGGTCTTCTTATCCTAGTCACCAAAAGTGGTCAAAGAGGGAAGTCCAAGCTCTTTGCAGATAATCTTTATGTATAAATGCAATAATAGGTCATTTACTCAACTACACATTCTTTTGAAAAATATTAAAACAGCATTTTATTTGAAAATAAAATTAAAAAGCATGTAACATAAAAGCAAGTTACACTATCTTTAAAAAAACACACACAACGGATGCATTTTAATGAAGAAGCCCTCTCCCCCTCCCACTCTCTGCATGCTCTCCTCATGAATTATGTGTAAGAGAAGTAACCATAAAACAGAGTTTTGCAGAATCCTTCATCCAGAATGCTTACATGATGAAGAGGTTATGATTACCTTCTTACAAAATTTCTTTTTTCTATTTAAAAAAAATGTAATGTTGATTGTTTATTACAAAACAATTCAGTACAAAAGTCCAATATATTGAAAATGACTTTCTCCCTTCCCTCACAGCAGCATTATATACAGCAGAGAATAAACAGGAGAAGATTGCTGATCTAGATGCAGCAGTCTTCAAATTAACTGGGACACACAGTGGTTTATTGACCCTCCCCTGCCTAACCCCATAAAAACTAACAAAGCAAAACACTGACCCCACCCTCACCCCCACAAAAAAGGCAAAAATATTGAGGGACCCATTCCAAACAATAGTGCAGTTAGTTCAGTGTCAATAATTCACATCTTGTAACAGAGTGTATGAATATGACTTCTTTCATAAAACTTTCAGTGCCCAAAAAAGAAAATTAAGGCCATCAGATTTGCTGCTTAAAAATTCACATAAAGGAAATATAAAAATATTCTGTGCTTCAAGAAGGCTTTGCACTAAATGTAGGTAAGAATTACCACACTTCTTTGAGAAAGATCACTCAATTGATCAGCTACATATTCTAATAATTATTTTAATAATATCAGAAGTCTCTAGTTAGTTGTTGAGATAGTTTGGCTGGGTGGGTGGATCTATTGACTGGGGTGGGTCAATTGGACCGCCGCTGCTGCTGCTGCTGCTGCTGCCGCTGGGATTCTATCACTGTTGCAGGGTCAATTGTTTCTAAGGGCTCAATATCTTCCTCTTCTGGATCATCAGCCCATATGTTCCCATCCCATGTTACAGGGTCCCAACTTTTCCCAATCAATGCCCTTACTTTGGTTTCAGACACTGCTCTAGATCTGCATTTCAGCTGCCGTTGTAATTCAGCCACTCATTTAATGAGACTCTGGACCTGGTTCTCAGCAATGTCAGCTCTTTTACTAGAGAGAGAGGGGGAGCTAGGCTATCCCAGCACAGGCAGCAAAACAACCAGGCAGGTCACCAACTGTCAGCCAGGTCACCAACTGTCAGTCCCCAACTCAAGAGATGTAAATTTCAATTGTGTGGTTTTAAAGGGACTTAAACTTGCAGTGACACAGTCCACAGGCTAGGCGTCCCACAGGTATTGTAGCCTGCAAATTGTGGCACAGAACAAGCAAGGCAGCCCACACTGATGCGATGATCAAAGAGTGAAAGACAAGAAAGGCGAGGCTCACCGAGCCATTTATCTCTCCACCCTTCAGTTAATCCCACTTGTGTTTATCAGCCAGGCTGGCACAATAAACAAACTATCTCAGTTGTCTTTTTAGAAAAAAAATAAAAGCATGCTTTGGCATATATGTTCATCAATATATTCCATAGTTATAATTGACAGTGGTTATTTATCCTCCTATCAGAACTTGATTTAAACTCATAGCACACAATTGCTAACTAGTACAAAATTGTCTTATAGCTTTGTACAATGGTTAATTGAGAAATTGATGAACATGACCAGTAGAGGTACTTTTGTTGTTGTTGTTTTAAAGGGGAATTTTTATAATTATCTTCAATGGGAATTTAAAAATTACCTTTTCATTTATATACGTTAATAGAGTTTATATGGCCAGTAAAAATTTCCAGAAACATTTAAAAATATTTTAGTGCAACAAGTTGTCTTTAACACAGTTAGAATAGTTGAACATTTTCACAGTGCTTTTTTTAGATTGGAAAAGATATACGTATCTATACATATATAGCTATATAGACATATTTATATGTGTATACATATGTTGTATAGGCATATATTTATATGTGCATAGATATACTTAAATATACTTATGCTTCTATGTGTATTTGTATTTATGCTTATTTACATATGTATAAATCGTGAAACTTCGGTTGTCGAACATCTCCGAGTTCAAACGTTCTACTACACAAACAGCAAAGTTAAAAAAAAATCTGCTCTGTGCTCATAACTTTGCTATATAGTCGAACTGAAAATCGAACTTGAAAACACCTGCACAGGTTGAGCGTGCGTCACCGGTCCAGTCTCACCGCAGACACACAGGAGCGACACTTCCCGCTAAGCGCAGCTCTCGCCCGGGCGGCATTTAGTGCTTCTGTTAGTGTGTCAATAGTCGTCATTGTGCTTTTTTTTTTCCTTTTGTGCTTTATTTGTGTAAAATATCGTAATTTTTAAAATGCATTGTGTTTTGACCTTTAATGCATTGTATTTATTGTGTTTAGATGTTTTAGAGGATATTTCTACAACCTAGGGCTGTTAACTTTGTGTTAATTCCTTGAAAAATGAATTTATCAGCGTAACTTTGGGGCTTCAGGGCTACAGTTTTTAATTGAGAGACCTCTTTGAGGTGGAGCAGCATAAACTTTAAAATTACTTCTTTTGTTGTTTTTGTCCAGACCTGACCATGTACTTTCTCGAATGATTTGAAAACTTAATTTTTACTTTCGGACAATTTGTGCCTTACAAATAAGGTGTTATTAGATACCAAAGTAGAGCAAAGTATAGTGTGGTAGACATATAAATGTGTGCTTCATACACAATATTCTGATGAATTTGTTTACTTGTTATTTATTTATAAAATTGTAACCTTTAAGGTACTTGCGGGTTATCAAGTGAAATCAAGTTTTCAAAACTGCGAGAGTGTCATGGATAAAAGAATATTGCTATTCTGATTTTGAGGTGGATTCAGTTTTTAGGTTATACAAAACAAAATGATATTCCCTTTGAAAGTGCAAGACTACCTAAACAGTGATAGAAATGTTGTACTGAGAGGCCTCCACGCATATTCACAATGTGTTGCTTCCTGCGCTTGTGCAGCACGGGTTATGGGGACTGCCTCCTCGACAAGCCAAGTGGAAGATTCTACGATTTGTCTCTACAACTTCCTGGATTAACGTATGATGTAAATAAGCAGTGTGAACTTATGTTTGGTCCTGGGTCACAAGCGTGTCCTTATTTGGTAAGAAAAAAATGTAAACCTTTTGTTTGAAAATGTCTGTAACCTGAAAAATATGCTCTATTTTCAACATGTACATGTATTTTAAGGAAGGTGAGTTAATATATGAATACCTTAATAACTAAAAATCTTAGAATGAAATGGTAGTTGACAGAAAGGAGGTTTTAAGAAGAGAAGCTTATATGTTTGAAGTACTTATTATATGCCAGGCACTGTGTTGGGCACTTAGAAAATGATCTTTGTTTCCGATTACAGGATATTAAAAAGTAGGTTCTCTTAGTAGCAGAGGCTAGGAGAGGCTATGTAATTTGAAAATTAACCAAAATTATTTTCTTATAAATATTTCAAATGATCCTTCTTTGGGGAGTAGAGCGCGAAACTGCTGATATTTTGATATTGAGTTATTTTAATGTGTCAGGGAACCTAATAGACAACATTTTCTTTCATATAAGTTTGAATCCAAGGGAGTTAAGTTTGGTATGCAGATTGCTCAGTTTCATTAGGTTACTATTTTGTAATTTTTTCTTAGGATTTTTCAGAGTTTACATCCTTTCCATGTCCATGGAAATAGACGACTCGACACTTTCACTGGGTCTATGATCATTATTTGGGGTACATTTGAGGTTTATTTCAGAGTAAATGCCACTGCCTTCATGAGAATTACGCTTTACTTTCTAAGCGTAATCACCATCTTTCCTCCCTTCTTGCAGGACTCTCTACACTTCCCTTAGCACATTGCTGGATTCTGGTCATTGGGATCAAAATGCAGCCTTCGTTCATTTAAACACATAGATCTGTTCTGTCGTGCATGAAAGACCCCCCAGATCATTACAAATCCCACCAGAAAGCGCTGTCACAGACTTGATACCACCTCACAGCAACCCCAGAAAGGGTTTCACAGATGGTCAGTCCTGAGACTGCAGAGAACTCCCCAAAGGGGGAGTTTGAACTGCTGACCCTGCAGTTAGCAGTCCAACACTTAACCCACAGGGCCACCTGGGCTCGCTCAGAGGTGTCCTAAAGTATGTATTTATTGACTGAATTAAATTTACTTAGAAGTTATTACACAGTTGATATACTTGCAAGTGTATGTTCCCTATAGTGAATATTCTTCCCTAACCTTACATTCATAATCACAAATCTTACTAAGCCTTTAAACATCCATTCTAGGAGAAAATATTTACTTTGATTTTTATTACAAAAGATGCATTTATTTTCTACCAGATTTGGACACTAAAAAACTTTGAATTTAAATTCAGAAAACATGAGGAAATTATTTTGGTTCCAGCTCCCATGAACCTATGTGTGGATTTTTATTTTCTTGTACAAACTTCAGGCCCTTTTGTTTAAAAATTGAAAGTCTGCATTATATTTATAAGCTAAGGAACTTCAGTATATATTATACAGTATTTCTGTGCACATTATTCATACATTCCACTTTGGATCAAAAGAGGCTTTTAAAAATTCCTTGTGAATAACATTTAAAAACAAGAAGTCTTTTAGAGAAATATCCTTTAAAAAGAAAGAAAACTCTCTTACATCATTTTCAGTACTTCCACTCCAATTCATCTCTCCAATTCTTCAAAGTATGAGTAAAAATGTGACAAATTCAAGAAACTAAATGTTGCCATTCTGTGCATTTGTATGAGATTGGCGTTTAATTATTTAGCAAGTCGTACTGCTGACTATGGCCAGCAGTGACCACGGAACCAGGAAATGTTTAGTATTCAGTTTATAAATTGCTGCATTCTACGGAATCAATTAGGGCGTTGTGGTTTTATTTTGATTCGTGTTCCTTTGCTTCCTGCTGCCCTGCAGAAACAGTGCCGGCGACTCTGGTGCACAAGTGCAGAAGGAGTTCACAGTGGTTGCCTTACTCAACACATGCCACTGGCAGATGGAACACTCTGTGGTCCTGGGATGGTAGGTTTTCTTCAAGGGTGAGTCTTGTATCAGGAGATTATCCAAGGATATGATTGACTCTCATTTCAGCATTCTGTTCATTATTCCTTGGTGGTTTTTGCTCTTCCTGATGAATTCCTTCTATTGTCATGTTTGGTTGATGTAGTACACTGTTAAATGAATTAACCGCAGTTTCACCAAAATGTAGCGGTTCCATATTAACGCTGCAAATAAATTACCATAGAAATAATTACAAGGATACATGTCTAAGTATGGGATAGTCTTGTCATTACTAATAAGTATAGACATAAAACTCCTAAGAGTTGGCAATTCCTTGAAATTCACGGATGAAGTACAGAAGGGTCCTTAGAATCAAGGGTGATATGACGTCATCTCACTTACTTAGGGCTTGTTATCAATAGAGACCAGTCCCTGAAAAGGAGCATCATGCAAAAATAGGAAATTTGAAAATGGACGACTGAAAAAGAATTAATGTATTGGAATTGTGGTATTGCAAGGAATATTGAATAAAGTTTGGTCTGCCAGAATCATAAACCAATTTCTTTTAGAGGTAATACAACCGGCGTGTACCTTAGAAATGAAGATGGTGAGACCGGTCCTGGCAGAGAACAATCTCTGGAGAAAGGCATCATGATTGGCGTAGTAAAGGGTCCGTGAGAAATAGGGAGACCTTCAGTAGCACAGTGGCTGCAACAGTGGGCTCACCAGAGACACCACTGTGAGGCTGGCACAGCATTGAGTATGCTTCATTCTGACTCCTAAGGTCCCTATGAGGCAGAGCCAACTCGGCAGAATCTAGCAACAAGAATTTAGATGGGGAAGACTTCAGAAATAACAGATTTTGAGCTTGGGAAACGCAGAGCTTGATTTGGTTACAGTAAGTTAGAGATATCTATTAGATTGCAAGTGGAGATGAGTAAGCATCTGCATGTGAGTTGAGCCCCGGAAAGAGATCTTACACTGGGAGATGTACATGTATGAGTCTTTGGGAGATGGATGTGATGGGATGGATGAGACTACCAAAGAAGTGGGTGTTGATAGAGAAGAATAAAGGACCAATAGCTGATCTGAGGCAATTTCAACATTAAAAGATCATAGAGAAGAAAAGAGCTAGCAAAAGAAACTGGGAAAGCACTCTCACTGAGGATCAAAGAAAATGAAGAATGTATAGAGCCCTGGGACTAACTGGAAGAACAAATTGAAGAGGGCGCCTGGTCAACTGTGTTACATGCTACTGAGAAGTCAAGGAAGCTAGGGACTGAGAACTGGCCTCTGGTTATAACCTTGTAGAGCCATTGGTGACCATCACCATAGCAGATTCCTGGGGAGATTGGGAGGCGGCGGGGAGAAGGCTCCTTGGGGTGGGTTTGGGAACAGACTTAAGCAGCGCACATAGACAGCTCTGTAGAGCAGTGGTTCTCAACCTTCCTAATGCCGTGACCCTTTAGTACAGTTCCTCATGCTGTGGTGACCCCCCAACCATAAAATTATTTTCATTGCTACTTCATAACTGTAATTTTGTTACTGTTCTGATTTGGTGACCCCTGTGAAAAGGTCGTTTGACCCCCAAAGGGGTCGCAACCCACAGTTGAGAACCACTGCTTTAAAGGATAAACAGAGCAGTAGCTAGTGAAGGAGAGTGAGTTCTAAAACTCATATGCTTATTTTTCTTTTGTTGTTTAGTAGATGGGAGAAATAGCACGGTATGTTTATATATTAATGGAAATGATCTAGGGAAGTATGTGTCAGACTATATGCAATAAAAAACTTGCTTTTTATATTTTATTTCCAATAATTTATAAATATATATTTATATAAAATAAAAATGATTAGGAAAACAAAATGTAGAAAGAGAGCTTTACAATATAGTCATGCTTTTAACTAGCATGCTTAATGAACATAGAATTACTCTGTCACCTTCCTGTAAAAGCTTCTAAATGCTTGCTCTCAATTTCCGTCCTTACTCCCTTGCCCCACAGACAGGTAACAATAGTTCCGACGGGTATGGATGGGTGGGTCACCTTTTGAGTAGCACTTAGGTACTAGAGAACTGAACAGTGATGACATAGGAGAGGGGACACTTGATGGAGAGTGGTGGGCAGGATGGATCAGCACACCCGTGGAGAGAGCGGAGTTGGACACGGTACAGCCTTTTCATGTTCAGTAATAGGCCAGAAGGCTGAATTCAGGAGTGGAGATATTAGGTGGGTAGAAGGAGTGGTGGGAAATGGTATGCATGTCTTTCTAGAAATTTCTGTTTTCTTGTTGAAGAAACAAGGTCATCACGTGAGACATGGGACGAAATGTGCTAGAAAATTATCTAAAAATATGTTTATAAATTATTGGAAATAAAATATAAAAAGCAAGTTTTTGATTGCATATAGTCTGGATATCTTTGAGTCAAACAGAAGCATGGATATATACAATGCTAATATTTGCTTCTCTTAAAAAAAGCACACATTTTATTTTGATGTCTCATTCTTCTCCGTATGTGTAGCTTTTCCTTCCTCATGGAAAACCCTAAATACCAAAGGCAAGGGCGCGCTCACTTGGGCAGCACATACACTAACACTAGTATGACACAGAGATGATTAGCATGGTCCCTGTTCCAGGATGACACACACATTCATGAACCATTCCATGTTGTCTTTTGCTGTTTTATTTTTGTATGTTCTCCAGTAAATGAAATCCAGGACCGGTACATCTATAGAGACAGGCACTGCATTAATGGCGTATTGGGGGAGGGGAGGGGGGGGGAGGGAAATGAGGAGCTAAGAAGGACAAGTACCAGAAGGAAGAAGATGTTCTAGGACCGATTGTTGGGATGCTTGGACAGCTCCTTTTAAGACGACTGAACTACCGAAGTGTATGGTATGTGAATTTTATGTCAATAAAACGATTTTTTTAAACAAAGGAGCAAGGGGAATATCATCTTTTTTATTGCAGAAATCTTCTTATAGTTACTTTGCAGAAACTCAGGAGATACTCATAAAGAGGTGTTACAAGTAATCCCACTTCTGAATTGATATTTTTGCGTTGAATTGTATGCACTTTGTTCCTATCCTGGCCTGAATGTTGTTGCTATAATTGATGTGATGTTCTAATTAGATATACAGGAATCATTTCTTTGTGTTTATTATTTTATAGCATTGCTTCCATGGATTGTGTGTAAACAAGGAAATGGAAACACGTCCTGTAGATGGTGAATGGGGACCATGGGGACCTTATAGTTCTTGTTCAAGAACATGTGGAGGTGGAATCAAAAGCACAACCAGGCTCTGTAATCACCCTGAGTATGTCTATTTTATGTCACTGTCAATTAAGATTATCTCAAGGCACAAGAAAGTAAACATCAGTTTCATTTACTTCTAAAACTGGAGGTCAATCTGTTAAGTTTCTGAGATTCAGAAAACTTCTAGAATACTGTAAGCCACATTACTTTATGTCTTGGTAGTTTAGATCTTTAAAAAAGCAAAGGTTTATATTAAAATAACTTTTACTTTTCAATAGATACTTTATTATTTCATAGCATGACCACTATGAACTGTGTGTAAACAAAGACATGGAAACACATCCTGTGGATGTATCTTTTTTGTTTTCTCATTTAACCAATATTTGAGAAATATTACCCAATGTGTGTGACAGTAACTATGTCTCGATTTAGAGTTCCTGGTTCTTTTCATCAGAATTTTGGCTTTCCTGCACAAAAGATGCATAGATAATATTTCCTTTAAATTGGATTTTTTGAGGCATTCAGACCGCTTTGGATAATTACACATGCCACATTTTCTTTCTCTGCCCCTCGTGCTATAGAGCCACCATTTTCTTAAGCTGAAAAAGTAAAGAAACATATCTCATCTTCATCAAACTACTTTAAATGACTTAGAGATTCCATAAGGTTTTAAAATAGTAAGCAATATGATACTCTTTAAGTACTTTAAATCTGACTTCATGGGAATTTCAGAATAGCTAAATAATGCCAGATGTACTTATATTAAATTTTTTTTGATAAAAGAATTTTTCTTTTTAGCATTAGTTGAAGCAAAGAGATAGACAGATAGGATGAAACTCTATAAACTGAGTGATAAGATTATATGTAAATTTGTGCATCTATATCTAGATCTTCGTCTGTCTATATCCATTTCCGCCTATGTCTGTATCTGTCATCTACTTTTTATTTTATGTGACTCTTGCTTAATTATGTTCTCCCACACTGAACTATTTTACATGTTTCTCCCAGAAAATTAGCAAGTCCTTTTCTGAAGTTCTGGGCTGGATGGCCCTCCAAATGCATCTTCTCCAGACTAAGATGCCATTCCCACCCTCCTGGGATTCTTGTGCACCCGAGGGGGGATCTATTTTGTTTATTAGCCATGGCATTATTTCCGAACTTTGTTACATGCTTTTGTTAAAAAAAACAAACACAAAGTGTCAGCAGGATTTGAGTGTTTTTTCCCCGATCCTGTAAAAGAGTGGAACAGTTTTGGAAGTAAGTGGCAGAAATACTATTGTACTGATGTGCTTTAAAATGTAATGAATTTGACTAGGCCAAGAAACGGAGGAAAGTACTGTGTGGGCCGCAGGATGAAATTTCGGTCATGTAATACTGATTCCTGTCCAAAAGGCAAGGCAGACTTCCGAGGGCAGCAGTGCTCCGATTTTGATGGTAAACACTTCAACTTCAATGGTCTTCCCCCCAACGTGCGCTGGCTTCCAAAGTATAGCGGGAGTAAGTAATCATCACATTTGTTCGGTACAAACATTTTGGTGTGATCGAGGGATGAAACGGCCCACTTCAGTTTCCTCATGACAAAGCAAACTTGGGATGATTTTACAGTTGCCCTAAAGGATCGCTGTAAACTCTATTGTCGGGTTGCTGGCACCACTAACTTCTACCAGCTGAAGGATAAGGTTGCTGATGGGACTCCGTGTGGAAATGAAACAAATGACATCTGTGTTCAAGGCCTGTGTCGGGTAAGCAAACTCGGAGTTTAGCCTACCATTTCTCGGAGCACCTATGACGCCCTTTCTGGTGAATTCTAGTAGAGTCCTCGTTGATCATTCCCAGAAGCACAGCCGTGGGCCCAATTGCCAGGAGGCCAGCTGTTGCCAAGAGTCACGCGTAGGCCGTTAATGTTTTTTTTGGTTGTTATGATACTCAGAATGAAGAGAGATTCAAAGGAGCAGGGATGGTATAGTGGGCTACACACTGAACTGCTAACCACAAGGTCAGCAGTTCAAACCTCTCAGTTGCTTCAAGGAAGTGACCTTTCATTTTATACACAAGTATAAATATTGCTGATACACAATTTGCATGTAAAATATTTTATGCTGTGTTAATTATAGTTCAATAAAACTAATGAAACTTAATATTAAGAGCTAAAGAGATCCAAAAGGGAGGAAAAATAGACTATCTGGGCAGGAGGATTATATTTGTAAATAAATTAATGTTCATTAGAAAAAAGTATGTAAAAATTTAAAAAATGAATAAACAGCAACGGATGTACAAAAGTGCCCAACACAATTGATGTATATATGGATTGTGATAAGAGTTGTATGAGCCCCCAATAAAATGATTTTTTTTTTTAAATCCAGAGGAACTGGAAGAATTAAGAAATAAAATGAATAAACAAAAGAAGAGAAAAATAAAATATTTTATGAGACACAATTTTCTTACCCTTCTGAACATACTATGTTTAAGAAACATTCCTAAGATGTGAAATGCTGAATGCCTGCGACACTGGGGACAATTTCTGTATTGAGAGGCACTGCACTTAGGCTCTGAATGACTGGGACAATCATTTTCTCTCACGGTCATTCATTTGCTCATTCTTTTCATATATACAACTTACTGTGTGGATATGAATTTGAGAGCAATAAAATGATTTCTTTCAGACACAGTCAGTTTATTCTTAGGGGTTAAAAGTCGTGAGCTAATTCATGAATCAGGAGAGACAGCTTCGCGGAGTAAGCTCTTCTGACTGGCTACCGATACACTCCCACTCCACTCCTTTGCAGGATGGCTCTCAAAAGCTGGCAGCCTGGGGCATCCCCGGCACTGGTCATCGTAACAGAGATTACAAGGATTCATCTCTAAGAAATATGATGCGGAAAGTCTAGGACTCAGATATTTTAAGTGCCACTCCATGTGATTCTGACAGCAAAGATAATGTGGATAGCTCTTTGAGAATTCTTTTTTTAGATCATGAAAATATTGATTTTTCAGTGAGATCAGTAGATAATATTCTTTAAAACTCCAGTCGTACTGACCCTCTTATGAATCGAAAGAGTACTTGTGAAAACAGCTTTGTAAACTTGAAAGAATGGTGCTTCCCATGAGTCAGTTTTGTAATCTTGGCTGTAACTGCTGTGTCTTTGAAGCAAGCGGGCTGTGATCATGTGCTGAACTCCAAGGCCAGGAGAGACAAATGTGGCGTGTGCGGTGGAGATAATTCTTCCTGCAGGACTGTGACAGGCGTCTTCAACAGTGCTCATTATGGTAATAGTTTTCCATTTGATTTCACCTAATGATGAAGTTTTGTCTCATCTATACACATAGTCCAAACAATTATTAAAGTAATTTTTCTTTATACTCCATGACTAAAATAATTGCTGTCACTAGTAAGAACAAATTCAGTAAATTGTTGTGATATATATCTTAATTAAAATCATTTTATATAAACATTCTTCTTAGCATAAAAAATATATGTCTTATACCAGATCTAATATTGATTCACCTGTCAAGGTATATCAGATTCCTGTAAAGAATTAGGTGCCTAGAGTAAACGAACTGCTATTTGATGGAGATGTTTGAAAAGATCCACTAATTAATGAAGTGATTTTACGGATGTTCCTATAATCTAAAAACTATATATTATGCATTTCCAGGGAACTTGCTTTCAATTTTTAAAATCATTTTTAACCACAACTCTTTATGGCTTGATCTGTCCTTATATTTCTTATGATTAATTATATGTTTTAGAATGTTCATTGAAGATGAAGGATAAAAACAATTAACTTAAATGTTATTTGGGAATTATCCCAACCTTTAATTTCTAGGTAGTACCTGGATCATAGGGAGCCTTGGTGGCTTAGCGGTGAAGATCTTGGCTGTTAACCAAATGGTCAGCATTTCAAATCCACCAGTGGCTCCACAGAAAAAAGATGAGACAGTCAGCTTGCAGAAAGATTTCGGTTTGGGGAAGCCCAGGAGGCAGTTCTACTCTGATCTCTCCTGTGAGATGAAGTCAATGGCAATAGGCTAGCTAGATTGCAGTTGCAATTGATATTTGGCCTAGGGTTTATTCCCCTCTCAAAATTGCTCTGAAAAGTCAGATATTTGCCATTCTAAGACATCCTAGGTAAACCTTTAAAAAAAACATCTTCATGGAACCCTACTGCTTATGGTGGGTTAAGTGTTAGGTTATGTACTTTGAGGTCAGTGGTTCAAACCAATCAGCCAATCCGAAAGAGAAAGATGAAGTTGTCTTCTCCCCCAAAGGTTTACAATCTTGGAAATGCAAAAGAGTTCTCCTTTTACCTGTAGGTAAGGCCTGTGGGCCACAATCGGCGGCGAGTTTGGTAATCTTCAACTACCAATAATGTGCACATGAGCAAACTTGTTTAAGCTAGCACTGTGGCTTCACTTAAATTGCCATCATTTAAAATGCAAAATGTGTATGTTTCTGATCATAAACAGTCTACTTCCTCTCATGATGATGACTGTGAAACTTAGTTCCTGACTGATTGGACATATTATTATTCTAATGGTTCCTTATTTTATGACAGCCAAGCAGTCAAATCATCTTAAGGCTGGTGAACCACTTTTATCAAAGCCTGTCTATACTCACTGAAAAAACTTTTCTTTTTCCTGTATAAATCCCAATATACCAACATTAGAATCAAATGCAAACAGTCCTTGTGTGAGGGGATCAAATCAAAACCAAATCAAACTCACTGATTCGGACTCATCACGACCTGATCGGACAGAGTAAAACTGCCCCTTTGGGGTTTACAAGTCTGCCAATCTTTATGGTAGCCTAAAATGTCATCGTTCTCCCACAAAGCCGCTGGAAAATTCAAACTGCTGACCTTGCGGTTAGCAGTCCAATGCTTTCTCCACTCTGCCAGCAGGTGTCCGGAATGTCTGAATAAAGGACAGCTCCGCCCTGCCCGTTCATGTTCCGTGGACTTGCCCTTACTTTGAAAAGATTAAACAGCCCCTACTCACAACCAGTTCTTCGTCACATTCGCCGTCATTTACTGCAGGTGCAACTTTGAAATCACCGACAAGGTTGCCAGCCTCTTCTGGTGCTCAAGTAAGACTAAGCAAGAACTGTATGCACCTACTCTTTCTCAGCGACACATTCTGCTGAAAGACACACTTAGCAACGGGTCTTGTTTGAAACCGGGGCCTGCTTTATTTATTTAATATGCCAAATTGCATTATGATTTCATTAATCTGCAAGTGGAAAATGACGGTCCATTCATTTGCAGGATCTGAATAGCATTTGTCACATTTCTGCCCCCTGGTGGTAACCTTCATCTTTTCACCTGTGCAGTGCTCCAGTCTTGCTTTCTTGGAAATGTAAAATACAGCAAAGGGCTATAGATAGTATAAGTAGTAGTAATATTTTCCAGAGAAATTAAAATTTTGTTGCAGACTGATAACTTAAAACCAATATTATGTATATATCACTTTATATTTAAATTATACAGCCTAGAAATGAAATAAGGCTGTATTAGAAAAATGCAAGGTAATATTATATCAGGTTTGCAAGTTTAAAATCCTCTTAAATGTCCTATTCTTAAGTTCATTACATATTTTCCGAAATCTGTGTGCTGGGAAAATTACCAAATGTTTTATTAATTTATTCCATGGAAGGAAAACCTAATAAATAGGGACATTAGACACTTAGAATAATATTACGAGATCATTATTGATTTAAAACCTGAAGGTATTTGGACAACCATATAATAGGAGTGCTTCTCGTGTTGGGAAAAGACCAACCCTCACTTCAGCTGTAACTGGTGTCGTGGTTTCCTCACTGTTTGATTCATGCGAGTTCTGCTGATTTTGGTTTCATAAAATATAAATATTGGTTCCAGTCGTCTTGTTTAAACTACTTTTCCACTGATAAGGTGGTTTGTGGGCTTTGAAAAACAATGGAAAGATTTGGGGACAACTTTTGGGACCCTTGCTTAAACTACAGTCCAGAAGCTTGAGATGAGCTGCTTCTCCCTAGCGTGCATTTGGGTGTCACCTAGTCACCGTGCTCCACGCTCCTGGCGACAACCAGTTCACTTTTGCTTTCTACCAGATTCATGAAGAGTTTGGAATCTTTCTTTCCCAGTGAATAGACTTCAAAACTGTTTTTTAAAATAGTCCAATTTAAACATGAACACATCTAGTAAGTCTCTCAGAAGCTAGAATATTAACTCCAGTTCCATTCTGTAATTAAGAGGTTGGCCAGTAAGGACAATAAAGAAAAGTTGTACTTAATAATTCCAATTTCAATTTGTTTTTAGACAACAGCTATGGGTCCACAACACCCCCCATAGGGTTCTTAGTAATTTGTATAGCTGCACTGTGTCAAAAGGAATAAGCACTATAACTTATACGTATTATACAACTAAGTCTGACCACGCTATTCGTTGTTTTTTTTAACCAATCTTTCAGCAATAACAGTTTCTGACTCTTCGCTCTTTATGAAATTTAGCATGTATAAAATTATGTTGCAGGTTATAATGTTGTAGTAAAGATTCCCATTGGAGCGACAAACATCGACATTCTTCAGCACAGCTACTCTGGGAAACCAGAAGACGATAATTACCTGGGTAACTATTTCTGCTTCCTGTACAGCTTCGTAGAGGTCTGCAGCTGATGTGCGTTCTTGGTCATGAAGAACAGCTCTTGGAGCAAATAGGCCGTTTCACTTCATTTCGAGCTCAGGCTATTTGACTCTCTCTACATGTGTTCTTCTTGAGCTATACAAAATATATTCTATTTTTTAAAAAAGAAAAAATGTGAGTTCAATTCTGAAAAGTAAATTTGCTTTCAGTTTTTGCCAGAAGAGCATTTTAGGGGACCAAAGATTCTCTTCATTTAATGATGCATGCAATTTAGAACAAAAGCTATCTTTTTATAAAACTCAAATCTTAACTGGAGTCTTTGTAAAAGTGCCTTTTAAAATTATCCAAATGAGTTAAAATGTAGCAAACTGTTCGAATAGAATGTGTTTTTAAAATCTTGTGTTCGAGAAAGGAAGAGAGAAAAGCCTGGTTTCATATTTTTAGATGTTAATGAATGTAATTATAGTATTTTGCCCGTTAGCTATTTCTAGAATATAAACTTCATTTTTTAAAATTATTAGACATTTGTTTTCAGATTAAAATACTGCTTTATAAGCACTTTCCTTCTTTGTGAGAAACACTTTAATATTTACTTATTCATATTCACCAAGCTGGAGTGGTGATAATAGACTTCGTGCTGAAAAAGTACCTGCTTCATAACATTAGTAACATTAATAACATGGGGACATGTGAAATATTAGCCCAAGTAATCAATGCTTGTAGTTGGGAATTCAGATCTATAATGAATAATGTGTCTCAGGATATATGTTTAGTAGTCTAAGATCAAATATAAATATTTTGATTTTCTATCTTTGTACATTTAATTACAGTTCTCTGTTCAGAATATAAATGCACTTACATTTATGTACTTACATATATGCGAATGCTATAAATTAAAAAAGCATGTCTCCGTTAGGTTATACATGTAGATTTTATATTTTTCTGAAATAGCCAATTGGTTCTGCTCAATTTAAAAAAAATATTGACCACTAAAGTATCAATATATTTCATGAGAGAACTACAAATATCAAAGTGTATAACTTTCCTTGAGCAAAGTAAATAACATGTAAAAGCATTAGGAGAGGTTAGTAAAATATATATTTGAACTTTTCTTTGGTAACTCTAAAAACGGAGTAATTTTCCACAGCTAGGTTTAATTTTCCTTAGTTTGACTTTAATCAATAGTTTTAAAGAAAGCCTGCCCACTCAATTGGATACCATGCACATTTTAAAGGAGTTTATATTTTATAAGATAAGTATACAAATGAATTCTTTCTCCATTAAGTGCAGTGTAATGGTAGTCATGATAGTTCACATTGAATGCATTTCCACTGAATCACTTTTGACTCCCATTGAACTTATAGGGCAAAATAAAACTGCTCCATGCGGTTTCCAAGGCTGTCAATGTTTAGGCGAGCAGACTGCCTCCGCTTACTCCCATGGAGAACCTGGTGGGTTTGACCTTGTGATTAGCTGACCTTGTGCTTGGCAGCCCAATTCTAACCCACTGTGCCAGCAGGACTCCTTCACGTGTGCATGAAAAATCCTCTGCCATCAAATAGATTCAGACTCAAGGACCTTTGGGGGTCTACTGGGACCCATCTGTCCTACAGGGTCACAAATACACCATTGAGACAATTCCAACGTGTGTTCGGCCGGGTTGACTTGAGAAACAAATCCGGAGACACTCATGAATGTGTAGGAAAGAACTTTACATCAAGAAGTTTTATGTATCAGGAAAACATCCCAGCTTAAGTCCGATCATTTCCGAAGTCCCTCTTCAGACTCACGCAGACACATCCAGCAGCAAAACGGAGGAAGATCACAGGCCATGGATCGGGGGGAGACGTGCGGGTCCAATGGCAGTGGAAGCATCACAGGGCTATGTCTGGTCTCCGCGTGGCTCGCCAATAGGAAGGTAGAAGCAGAGAGAGAGCGCGAAGTTCCCAGGACCACGCCCACAAGGAGGTACCATCAGGCCGTGTGTGACCTGATTGACAGGCTAGACTCCACCCCTACTCTTTTATATATCAAGTTGACATGAAATTATGTAACCACCATACAACCTTAGCAACCCCATGTAGAATAGAAGGAAACACTGCCCGGTCCTGCTTCATCCTCACAATTGTCCTTAATTTCAGCTGATTGTGATAACCATTGCATCGATCCATCTTGTTGAGGGGCCCTCTACTTTTCCACTGTCTCTCTACTATACCAAGCATGAGGTTCGTCTTCAGGGACCAGTCTCTCCTGACCATATGTCCGAAGTACACGTCCAAAGTACCTAAGTCTCACCCTCCTAGCCTCTAAGGAGCATTTTGGCTGTACTTCTTCCAAGACATATTTGCTTGTTCTTTTGATCATTCATGGTACTCTCAGTATTCTTTGCCGGCACCATAATCCTTTAAATATTTCTTTTATGCATTGAACTGTTAACTGCACAGTCAGCAGTTCGAAACTACCAACCACTCTGAGGGGGAAGCATTTACAGTCTTGGAAACCCACAGGGATAGTTCTCTTCTAAAGGGTTACAACGAGTCAGAATCTACTCAATGGCAGTGAGATAGAATTTGAATATTTATTCTGAAACTTAGCTGTACGTTAACTTGTATGCTTTGAGTTGGGACTGCCTGGAATGTCAAACAAAAGTTTTCATCAATATCCCACTGAAAAATTATTAGATATAATATAAGCAAAACAAACAAAACATTTTTATTAATATGAAACTTTTATTAGTGTGAAGTATAAAAGTGGCTTCATTCATTCAAAAATTAAAAATAAATACCACAGTGCCTTAAAATTATACATATTTTTCACATTTGATCCTGATATGAATCAAGTCTGTGAGGTAGAATTATTTATTATTTTCCATGTTGTTGTTTCGCAAATTGAGCTAGAGTCTTGTCCAAAGACTATCTAGCAGTGTATTGGAACAATGTGAATTCAAACCCATTGTTCTAATGCCAACCCAAGTTGTTTTATGCAATCATGTTGTCAGTATACATAAAGAATAAACACGTAGTCACTAACTGATAAATGTGGGGGTTCAAATCTGCCCAGAGGCACTTTAGAAGAAAGACCTGTCAATCTAGCTCTGAAAAATTCACAAGCATATTTCTACTCTGAAACACAAGGGATCACCGTGAGTCAAAATCTACTCAACAACCGCATGGGTTTTTCTTTGGGGAGGGGTGTGTATAAAAAAGTGTCTGTGTAAATGCATGAGTATACATATACACGTATACACACATAGCATACACGTACCCACATAAAGTTTTATAGGTATACATTAGTATCCACAGAAGCCCTGGTTGCTCAGTGTTAAGCACTTTGTTGTTAACCAGCAGGTCAGCACTATACAGGTGGAAACAATAGTGTGAGTTTATTCCAGTCTCTGACAGGCATCCTGAAGTCCTCCTTCTTAGGGGTCTGCTGCCACATAACAGGAAGACTGTTTTGCTTTCTTTTAAGCACATTGGTGTACACCGACATCATTTCATTGCAGAAGCGGATTTGAATTTAAACAGTCAACTAGGGATCCTTCTGTAACGTGGACTGGCTTTCGATTTCCAGATTAACATTTTATTTCTTTGCAGCACTATCAGACAGTCAAGGGAATTTTCTTTTGAATGGAAATTTTGTTGTAAGTATGGACAAAAAAGAGATCAGCATACAAGGAGCTATTTTTGAATACAGCGGTTCAAACCACACAACTGAGAGACTGAATAGCACTGATCGCCTGGAAGAGGAACTTGTGTTGCAGGTAAATTTCCAGAGACCACTGACAGGCTGACCTTCTTAGTGCACTGTGATGGTGAAGTGGTTAGCATGTATTATTAAAGATATAGATGCGGCCTTTGAAAATAGGGCCTTTATGTATTCATTTGTATTTTTATCCAGGTTTTGTGTGTAGGTAACTTATACAACCCAGATGTACATTACTCCTTCAACATCCCTATGGAAGGGATAAGTGAGCAGTTCACGTGGGATCCGTATGGGCCATGGCAAGACTGTACCAAAATGTGTCAAGGTACTGTGGGATTGAAGAAGAGAAGCACCCGATGTGCATGCTTGTATCATTTTAGGTACCTTTGAGTCTGGTTGCCTGGGAGATTTCTGTACTGTACATACATAAATACATACATTTCCTGTCCTGTTCTTCTCTCTCCTCTTTCTGCTTCATAGCTTTACCAGCTCTCTACCATTTCCAGCACTCTCCACCACTGCACCTTCCCCCCACATCCATTCTCTCCCTCATAGGTGCAGAGGTTTCTCAAACACGCATGCTCTTCTCTGATCCACTGCCCACTGCACACGCTGTGTGGATGTCATCAACATGCTTTTATTCTTCTGTTTCCCCTCCCTGACCACAAGGGATGATATTTGTGCCGATGATACGAATAGCACGAAAGAAACACGGGAAATGCAAAATCAAGGAGATTGGCAGCAGAAAATGGAAAGGCTAGCGTTTTGTGTAATCTGTAATTAGAGAGACTTAATTGTGTAATCACATGTAATGTATGTCCAATTCACAAAGTCTCATGGAGGGACTTCTTGGTTTTAGAGGATTAAATACAAAAAACCTGCAAAAGCAAAGCAAAACCCTGATTCTGCTTTGAAATGTTAATGTCTAGTGAATCAAGAAGACCCTTGAGCAATTAAAACTGTCCAAGAAACAAACAAACAAAATGAGTGCAGAGAAGACCACAGACAATGCCGAGGGAGCAATTTGTGGAGATTGAAGCTGAAGATGCAGGGGCTTTTCTTTAGAACGGAAACGTAGTGCCTCCTAGTGAATGGTGGAGGGTGCTGGAGTCAGAGCAGCAGGGGGCCAGATGGGAGGAAGGTCAGGTGTGCCGAAGAGAGCACACAGGTGGCCAGAGGCAGGACCGGAGAGGGTGGGAGTGCGAGGGGGTAGTGGGACACAACTGATGCCAGCATTCCAGCAGAAGTGTACAGAAACAGGCAGAGACTTGGTCGCTGCGCAGGCTGGCAGAGCCCAGGATGGTTACGTGGGAGCCGCTCTACCAGGACCACTGGGCACCATCTCAGTGGAGGGAGACTGTAGTAGATAAAGCAGGGAGGAGTGGGAGAAATCTCAAGTTAGGAGACATGAACGGTGGGAGCACGGGAGGAAGGGTTGATTTTGAGGAGGCCCTCGCATCCATTTGCAGAAGGGAATTAGAGAGCCAGGGCCGGCATCCACGAATGGAGTAAGGAGGCAGGTGGCCTGTGATGGACGGGTTGCTGAGGAAGCAGACGAAGCAAGGAAAGAAGGAAGGGAGCCTGGCGAAGTGAAGAGTGACCAGACTCCCAGTGGTAGGCTGCACCCCACCGGGAGCTGTCCAGGGGTCAGTTCTTCGACCGCCCTGGGCAAGAAAATATGGGCAGCGACGTCAACTTCATTGCCGTACAGTTCATCAGGATCATATTCCCTTTTGTGTTGATTGGTTTTGGTTGTTCGTTTTCTCTCCCGTTAACTCCCTTCAGTTGTGTTTGTTCGCTTGTTTTTTTCAGTCTACCTAAAGATTTGCATTATCTCCAAACTTTTGGTCAGGGCTATAGGTTTTGCCTTAATAATTTCAAGCTGGCTTTGTTTAATCATTCGGTCACATGTTGCTCCCTTGGAAGTAGCACTGCTATAGTCCTTATTCTCTCACCCTAATTTGTTGATGCTGCTTTCTGGGCCTTTCAGATGGGATTATCGTCAAGTTTTCTTAATCATTGTGGGAATTCTCTATGCCTCTCTTCGGCATTTGATTCCCTGTTTCCTAAATCTTATGATTTTTTTTTCATTCTGATTTACTGCTTCACTAGGTGAAACATATGCTTCAATATTTTCCTGGAAGGTAGCTTTTTGAAATATTTCATGTCTGGAAAATGGTATCATAATTTCATAGTTCTTTGATAGTTTAGCTGGTATGAAATTCTAAAGTAGAAGAGCGTTTTCCCTTAGAATTCTGAAAGCTTTGTTTTCTACCTTGTAGCAAATCCTAATTCCCTGCACTTGTACATACT